GTTAGATATCAACTTTCTTAATATTCCTCAATCTATTAATTATAAACAATATAACAAGAAAAAAATAGTAAAATATAAAAGAATGCCAGTTTTCTGATTAATCTTTTGTAAAAAGTGTATAGGGTCGCTAGAGACCCGAGGTATGTAATATCTGATGACTCAATTTGTGCAATGCATCTTTTTTCCTCAAGGTGGCACTGTTTGATACACAATGATGACGTGACGTTTCACTCATAATTACTGCAGGCATAAAACAAACGAATAGCAAAAATTGAAGTGGTTTGAATGGCTTTACTGCAGAGCAATTACTATACGCAATGAAATATAAATGTCACTGTCATTTGATGCTGGATGTGGTGAATAAGCTGCCAGTGATCAAAATATTGAATATGAAGTCATTGAAAATGACAGTTTTGAGAATATGGTTAAAATCGTGAATATGAGCCAGATGCTGGATGTACTGTGGAAGTGCGCTCTGACGATGACAGCGATGGTAAAATCATCTGCTCAAACTGAACCCTTTAAGTTTCAAAGGTAACGAAATATGCTTTATTTTATTCTTCTGTAATTGTTCTTAAAATATCAAGAGAGTTTTTTGCTATTGCAGCAGTTAGAGGTTCATCCATGCTGCTGGATATATAGGTCCGGGTCGCTAAAGACCCGAATATGTAATAATGATTGGCGAAACATTCATGCATTTAAGGGTTAATGACCTTGTTTGAAACCATAGGGGCCATTTCAACCCCCTTTGGGCTTTAGCTAATATCTTTATTTAAATCATTTTATTAAATGACTTTTTAGATCTAACACTTACTTGTTTGCCCTCCAGAGTATAGAGTCTTTTCACAGCGCCAGAATCCAGTTTAATGGCGTCAGTGATGTCCGTGAGCACCTGCTCAAAGCAGTGAGCCGTCTTCTTATTCAAGAGGATCCGGACAGCTTTACGGGGTTTGACACCACTCCTGATGACTGTCACCAGCTTGGGTTTGATGAAGTCTTTGCTCTCTCGATCTCTCAGCTCGTTCTTTGATGTGGTAAGGGATGGCAGCGAGCGGGATGTGCCCGTCTTCACGTTGACTGACCAGTTGGGATTGAGATTCTTAGTGTAGTCCACTTTACGGTATGGTTCATTGGAAGCACACACATAGCTTTCACCTGCCAAGAGGAGAATAAGATGAATGGAATTGTTTTGTTCAAAATGCTTCAAAATGCAGATATAGGTCTTCAGTTATGAATAAAGTACTTTACTGAAAACCTAAATCATTAATTTATTTCCAAATGCATTTTTGACATCATGATTGGAGGTAAAACGTGATTTTAGATATTTATGAAGTAGACATATAAATACTGTAATGAATACGGCCTATTTTTACTTTATTAAATATTGATTAAAATTTCAAACAATATAACATTTATTCTAATGAACCTGATACGAAAGCCCATTTTTTGCAGTGAAACAAAAAAAAACAGGTAATTTTGAGCTGAAGTTTAAAATAAGAAGTAAAAATTATGTCAAAAAGTGACAAAATTGCAGCTTGATACAGTTTGGGAATATAACACCACCATAATAAAAAAAAAAATTGCAATTATGAGAAAGTCGCAACTGGGAGATATGAACTTACAACTGTGAGAAATAAAGATATAAAGTCAAATTGTAAGAAATAAAGTCTTATTGTGAGATATAGAGCCATATTTTCGAAAAAATATAAAGTTACAGTTCTATATACTGTATAGGCATAATTGTAAGATATGAAGTCTTGAGTAGTATTTTTGAGATATAAATTTGCTATTCTGAGATATTGCAATTTTGAAATGTAGAGTTGCTATCATTTATTTATTAATATATATATATTTTTTTTTTTTTCCCACACTGAGGATATATATATATATTTTTTTTTTTTTTTTCACACTAAGGAGGATACATGCTTCTATAAACCTCAGCATCTCATAAAAAAAAGTAAATATAATAATATACTGCCATTATAAATGTACATCTAAGATAACCAGAGACTGCAAAGGGTTGGGTTGAATAAAAACACACGTAGCCCATCTGTGACCCCAGCTCTTCCTCTCTACACTTTTCAGCTGTGGTTTTGGACAAAGTCCAAGGCAAAGTATTTTCCTTTTTGCAGGAATTCCAATCGAACTGTTAGCAAGTATGCACTCCCATTCCCATAGCTATACTTCACAAACCAAAAGGCCATATAAATGAATACCACATGAAATGTTATTTCCCAAGAAACGTTGCATAATTTTTTTTATTATGGAGTTCATTATGAAATGTTAACATAACTAAACATCGGCTTGTCTGATAGACATTGCGTTAAATACTTAAAACCCATGAAAGTGTGTGCAACAGCATAAAGGCCATGCTTGTTGCTTATGTGTGATGATGGCACATCTTGGCACTACAGCAGAGGCAGCTGGTCTAAATATGGAGCTTTATCATCCTAAGGAGCGCAGTGCTATCAGGACAAAAGACATGCTAGTGTATCAAAAGAGGACAAACAACCCTTGAAACCAAACATCCCCTCCTGCTCCCTCCCTACCTCAGAGAAAACATGTCTGAATGTCACATTTACAACAGTTATGGCTTCTGATGAATTAACAGGAAACACATTTGTCAAAAGCATGATCAGCAATACATTAAAGTCATTTCAAAATCAAAATGAATTTGTGTGATATATTTTGTATGCCATTTAAAAGTCGTATGGATTTGGTTAGTTCTATTCCTCTGCTTTGAATTGCCAAGATATTCAGTATAACATCACTCTTCCTCACATGATTTTGCTTAATGTTTGCTGAGCAGTGTAAGCTTTATGGTGGTAAAGTGATTCTCATGTTAAGGTCGAGGGGTCAAGATGACATCAAGAGTTGAAAATGTGACATTCATTTGGAGGCCGAATTCCACTTCACACACCTCATCATGAACTTTAAGGTGAGACAGACACTCTGAACTAGAGCAGTCTTGAGGAATGTAGAACATATGCACAAATATGTTTGAAGTGCTTCTCTTCAAGTCCAGAGCTGCATTTCTGCAGAGCAACTTTAATAAAAAATTATATTCAAATACCTTTGAACAAGTACTGACCCTTGATCTGTAAATCTTTACAGATCCAATTCAGTTATAAACAGTGAAATAAATACCTTAATGCCACTTACATTTGAAGTTTATAACATCACATAGAAACACAAGATGTTTGAGTCCAGATTAAACATTTTTTGAGAATATATTTAAATGTCAAACAGGAAAAAAATTAGCAAACAATGACCATGAAATTATGGTAAGTGACATCACTCTTAGATATGCATGCTATGCACACCAAACTATTTAGCTTCATTACATAAACACTATCTACTCAGAAAATAAATATTATATATCAAGTATATCAAGAATATCATCTGAATCTGAACAGCAAAGTCTACATCCGAAATTTTTAAATTATATATATTTCTCATCTTAGTAACTAAGACAGACAACTGAGAACAGATCACTCACCTATAGTGTGAATGAAATGTTTGTTTATTCACATGAGAGTACGAAAAGATGTGTGATATAATGGTCTGTGAGCTTTGATGCATTTATAATATTTCAGGTTTCGCGTGCAATCCAAATTAAAACAATGAGTCAAAATTAAGAACTATTAAAACTAAAACGGTGAAAACAAAACCCAAAACACCAAGCAACAGAAATGTCATGCATGCAACTATTTTTAAATCATTTTCAGATAAATAACTAACAATTAATACTAGGGCTGCACGATATATCATTTCAGCATCGATATCGCGATGTGCGCATCCGCGATAGTCACATCGCAGGATGTGCGATGTTTAGTATAGGCTACTGATCGTTATATTTATACTGATCGTTTTCTTTGCTCACACACAGACACGGTGTCTACACTGGACGCGACAGCTGTACAGAGATACCCATTTCTAAATACATTTAGTAGCAGAGCTACTGCACGCATCTTCAGTGCTGGAAATCCGTTTATCCTTTGTTGAAACTTCCGCGTCGTCGCCGAAAGCGCGGGTCACGGTCGCTTAGCAACAGCAGACTCCACGAAAGCAAGCTCCCGAGCACTTTGGAAAGGAGAAAGCGGCGCGGCTGGCGTTTTCCACTCGCGACATGTGAACGGCCCCAAAGTCTGTCTACACCGGACGCGACGCGACAAAGCGACCGTTGCATATCATTTGAACTTTGTATCAGTACGTCATAAACGAGGCATCAGTTTACTGTCGGGGATTTGTCGTGTCGCGCCGCGTCCAGTGTAGTCAGTCACACAGCATCACTGATTAAAATGGGTTCATAATCATAGTATTTTGTCGCGCCGCTCGCGCCCGGTGTAGACACGGTGAGAGCCACGCAGATGTATGTGAACACTGAATTCTGTTCACTTCTGTGTCTATTTGTGCCTGAAATACTGTGCTCTTCAAGTATCCTTGTAAACACAGTTGCTTATGGCTTAGGTGAAGGCAAACAATTGAGAAAGAAAATGGATGTGTAACAGTATATTGGTTCACAGCAGTTTAATGTTCCTGTTGCTTTCCCTGTCATGAACGTCAATCAAACAACAAAACACAAAGAAAAATCACTTTTGTAGCTTTAACAGATTTATTAGATTTAATTTATAGTGAAAACTATGCAGTGTTATTTTACATTTGATTATTCAATTTCTGTGCCTGAATACTGTTAGACTTACCTGACAAAATATAAAGCACTGCTTATTTCATTTGTATCTTTGTTCTGTTATTTATCTATGCTTGTAATTTGTTTATTTCCTATGCTGATTTACTCGCCTAAAAATCACCCCAATCACTGATTATTTTTTTCCCAAATAGAGCTATTGAAGTCATCTGTTTTTTTTTTTCATATCGCAATGTGAGTTTTTTCCAATATCGTGCAGCCCTAATTAATACTCATAAATCATTAAGATTATGGCCAAAGTTTAGTTCCACCACTGACCCAGAACTACAATCATTCTGCATAAACATCATTGTTCCGGCCACTGGATCATGAAATCTCAATTTCACTCAGTTTGCCTCAGAAATAGGAGGGAGGGGCTCCCAAGACACTGGGCTTTATTAAGCTGAGAAATTAACAAAAGGCTAATTAATCAAGTAGACTCCAGATGGGGTCACTATTACTGATGATAAACTGACTCAAAATCAGATGTCAGCTATTTGACATAATATGTGTTGGAAAACAGAAATATAGTAATACTGATGTCATTCACATGGGACTCAGATGTGGACTGGAACCACTGGGGTTATGAACCCTCCATCGCCCTCTCATAACCAGTACTGCCTTGATGTCCAGATGGGACCCTTATGTGCCCATCATTCAACAAAGTGTGGTGGGCCAGCACAATAAGCAGTATCAGTAGTAGCTACTGTCAACACTCCAACGTAGATGCCTTTTGCTGGCGATCTTTAGCAAATAGCATTCAAAGCTTGGATCATGTGCGTGTAAGACTTTACACAGATTTGTAACACAAAAGAGAACTAAGCCAACCCTCAGTCAGCGTGAAGAGATGCTGAACTCGGCACTTCAAATGCAAAGCACTTGTACAATTGCATCGAGCAAACACAGAGCCACATTCTGCATCACAATCTCACATGCTGGACCAAAGCAGCTGCACTTGTGCTTGCACACCAATTTAGTAAAATATATATTTGTGTTTAGAATAACATGAATTCTTTAATTATGCAATGAATTCTGCATTCAGTTTATTGTTGAAATAGCACAGAGCAATAACAACAAGGTCTGTAATTGGGTTGGTTTTTATGACAGTCAAGTCTAAATGCTATAACATGGCAATATACATATAAAAAAAATATATCCTAAGAAAACATTATTTACATTTTGTTAAAGTAATATATTCATACTTATTTCTTGTGATTGAGTACTGGCTTTGAATGACCAATGGGAGTCAAAGCAATAGTTCACTCCCCAAAAATGGCAATTGTGTGATTGTTTACTCACTCTTATGTTGTTCCAAATGGCCTTCCCTTCTATGGAATACAGAATGTATTTTGAGGATATTTATGACTCAGTGTTTTTGTCCATATACTGAAATTCAGCTCGGTCCAGTGGGCCTTAAGCCCTCTGACTTTCATTATATTGACAAAAACAGCTAAAACATATTCTTTTCCTTTCTGTTGATGGATTGACTTGAGACTATGTCTTAATATACTATTCCATCAGCTGATAGTGAATTAAGTAAACATACAGTAATCTTGGTTAAAACTTTGTTAATTACTGCTATCATGTTTATCATGCATGGCTTGCAATGTTTAAAGTTAACAAACAGCTACAGTGAGAAGACACTCTTCATATTATTATTATTATATTACCTTTACTGGTACATATTATTAATTAATTGATTTATTGAGATATGAATAAATGAATGAATGTATTTGCAATATATAGCACAACCATGCCAATAAAATACTGGAAATTGCAGGGTGAATTGAAAATCCAGTGTTTATGTGTGTGAGAGACTTAATTGGAAAAGTTACCTACACTGACTTGCCATGTTGCAACATTGCAAACAATGCACCCTTACAATCACTTCACTAAAGTATGATAATAGCAGTGGTGCTTTACTGGATGTTACATGGGGAAAAGAATTTGAAGTGCCTGTTGTGTCTATTTAGACTTTGGCACCTGTACAATCTTCAACCTCACCTTCTAGTAACTCATCCAGGCTGGTGATCTTCTTCCCCCCTTCCATAGCATAGATGTTCCGGACTCCTTGCGGTAAATTCACATTGTCCGAGAGGGAGCGGGTGAGCTCCATCAGCAGCGCATCGAAGGATCTGAAGCGGTCACTGGACACCGCGTACACCAAGCCCCTGAAGTACTTATCACCGTTCCGATAGAAGCGAACTTTTTTCGCTTTCCTCTCGGAGGTGAGCGACTGCAGTGTGCGAGTGCGGTAGAAACTACAGTGCGCACTGTGAGCGGGACTAGGCATGAGCCCGTTACCCCGCGAGCCGGAATGAGAAGCGCCACTGCCCCGCGGGGACCGGTGACTCTTCTCGCGCTCCTCGAAATGCTCCCACTCGATGCTTCTGCTGGACATGTTGATTTCCTTGAAGTCAAAGCGCGGATCCTTGAATAAATTAGCTTGATTTGTGCTGTTGTTTCTGCGGGTTGTTGTTCGTGTTATTTTTCCTTCTAAGGACTTTCAACCTATGATACGCATTTTCTGTAGTGAATCAGTTCAAATAAAGACCAAAAACCGTTCTCTTCAACTTTTTATACAGCTAAATAAAGAAGTTGTTAAAATATATATTACGAGAAATAAAAGGTTGTGAAAGTCCTAGTGGTCCACAAATCCAAGAACTGTACAATTCAAGGACAGACGCTATAGTTGAGGTGAGCCCCGGTCATGATGAGATGAGACTGGCAGAGCTGTATGTGCGCATGCTGGACACGCGTGACCTTCCGCGGTTCTCTTCATCCCTCCACTGGCACTCAATCAGGCCAACACTCACCACACACCTACATGAAAGCGACGGAGGAGAGGACAAGTGCTGCTCCTCCTCAGGGTCCTAAAACGTCAATTTCTCTCCAAACGCAGTGGTTCTGCGTGGCCCACTAGGGGGCCTCAACCTTCAAAGGGGTCAAAATAACTTAAAGGGATAGTTCACGACAAAAATAGAAAAATACAGGTTAGTTAACTCACGTTCAGGCCATTCAAGATGTAAGTGACTTTTTTCTTCAGTAGAAGAGTAAAGATTTTTAGCTGAAACCATGGTCCTTCCTGATTTATAAACTGCAAGTCACTATAGCTATGTTTCCATCACCCTGTTTTTATGCGCATTTTGAAGTGTCGCATCCGAAACGAGTGACGGAAACGGCAAATTTCAAATAAAAGTTTGCAAAAAAGTTTGCAAAAAAGTTTTTACGCTCGCTTGATGTGGTTTTGATTTGTGTGAAAAAGGGTATGTGAATAATGAGAGATGGAAGCGCATTTGCCGAGTAAATACCTCCATGCGCATCAAAAAGTCATGTGACTTTGCACTATGGGACGGCAAAACCTGACAAATGCTGGGTACATACTAAAAGATTTTTAAAATCTTGCAAGATCTTTAAAAATATGAGAGACCACAAACATGAGGGAAAAAATCCTAGATTTAACCGTTTTGCTCCTATAGTGTGTGGTGTGCTGCGATGTTCCCCCCACACATCAGGATTTCTGATCTTAAATATTCAACATGTTGCCTCCGACGTTCTTCCGAGCAGATTCAGTCACTCTTAACACACCTCACACCACAGGAAAATCTGATAAGATCATCTTTAACCACCAAGATAATCGGGACATTTACCTAGGAATGTCGGAAGGGGAGAAATCGGCCCAAAATCAGCCCGATTATATTGTGGTGTGTACCCAGCATAACCAGCGCACCGATCTTGTTCCACAGCACCTGAAATGTTCTTATGGTAATTTTGAAATGCCCGAGCAAAGTCTGTCATCAAAGTATTTCTGTATAATTGCCTCCCAGAACTGTTACACGACTGCGCTGTTTGGGAGCGCAGTCGTGTAACAGTTCTGGGAGGCAATTATACAGAAATACTTTGATGACAGACTTGTGATAGGTTCATCTGCTCGATCTGAGGCGCAAGTAATTTATTATATATTAAAATGATTATATTCAGTGGCTTCTCCTACTTTTCTTAGTGGTGGATAGTGCCAGTTTACCAGGAAGTGACAATTTTGTTCTCTTTGACTCGTTGGATGGAAACGGTGCTTATTCGCAAATGTTTTCGCAAACTTTGGATGGAAACCCAGCTAATGGCTATACCATTATTTTGAGAGTCAAGAAAAGCATATCAGGTAACTAAATGAATACCTCCCGCTCGATGATATATTGAGGTCTTATGAAGAGAAGCGATCAGTCTGTGAAAGAAACTGAGCATTAACATTATTACCTGAAATCAGCCTCACCCAAAGCACCCAATAATGACATGAAATGTGGATGTTTTACGTCTAAAGCATATAAAGTGAATAAACTAGTCTTAATCAACTTGTTTTTACATTAATCACGAGAAACCATAAAAAACGGCAGTTTCTCTTGCTCTTTAGTATTCCTGCAGTCACAACACTGAAACTGCTGACTGTAATATCAAGACACAGATTAAGAAAAATATCTAATATTTCAGTGGTGTGTAGGCCTTTCTGCCTCCTGAGACACTGTGAGGCCAAACTCTGACACGGCAGTTATTTTATGAATTAAAGGAACAATAAAAACTGCTGTAACTGCATGAAAGGAAGTAAACGGGAAGAAAAGCCCCGGAGAGAGGAAATCCTGAAGACAATAACTGTTGCAGCTGAGAAAGAACCCCTTTCTCAAAAATAAAAGAGAGGGAGGTAGAGGAGATCCCCCTCTCTGCAGAGAAACTCCTGCCTTAGGCCTGGTCTTACATAATAAGACTTACTGGAAACATTATAAGAGTGGATCAACTTAAGAATGATGATCTTAAATATACATTAATGCTGTTTAAGTTTAATAATATTAATTGATAAAAGAGTAAAATGAACATTTGAAGTGATTAATGAAATGTTTATTTTCATCCCTAGACCTACAGATATCCAATAGTTCTTTCGACAATACTCAAGGTAAATACAGCATCTTTATTTACATTTATTTAAATCATTTTAAGAATAAACAGCAACTCACCACTCATCCTAGAAAGTTGGTTTCCCTTTCTCATAAATCCAAAACATCCAGTTTTTCTGTAAAATTCTACATAAAAATGAAAGATTATTACTAAATACTTTTACACAACTTTTGTATGGATACGCAGGTGCTTTATGTGTTCCTCTGGAAATAAAAAAAGGTACCAGGCTGATTTATTGGGAGCTATTTTAAGGTTGGAGTAATTGGATTTGTCAAAGTTTGCAAGGATGGTAAAATAAAATCTTAAAGATGTTGTTTGAAATATTCATGCCATTTGTTTTTTTTTACACAGTTTTTCCATGAACACTAGTGTGGTAATGCTATTCCAAATAAACCTGCCCCTAAACATCTGGTTTTACAGTAGATAGAGAGGAGATGACTGCACAGCTGTAGATCTGCATTAAATATCTGTCATCAGAGCCTGCCATCTGGTGGATGAACAATGTATGCGCAGGAGGATAATGGTTCTGAAATCGGGAATCCGGTCTGGTCCGGTCCGGACAACCTTTTATGTACTGTACCAAATTCAGAAATTAATTTTCAATCCATTGCACCTATACAGTATTAAGTTACATAAACTTAAGGTCTGAGGAAAATTACAGTCTAATAGCCTAAAGTTTAAGGACCAATTAACGTCCTCCTCTTAATCCAGGAATGAACCATTCCAAAACTACTGATCATAGACCACCAAACAGGACAAGCTTCAATCACCAGCAGATGTGCAGTCAAGTGGGTGGGGCGTCTAGGGGGGAAAAGCATTTCCCATGACCCAGATCGCTCACATTCCATTAGGAGTGGGATGTTGTGTGTTGAGTGTGATGCACAGAGCACAGAGTCTGATGTTTTATTAAAGTAGCAGATATAGCTAGCACTGCTTTGTACGTGGGTAATTCTTTAAGACCACTTTTGGCCGTGCATGTGGACTTATATTTTCCCTCGCTTTTTTTTTTTTTTTTGGATAGGCTACAGCATTTAATGTGCAACATGATTATAATTAATAACTTTTTCAGAACATCATGAACGTTTCTAACAAAGCGCCATTTTCTCTGCATCTCAGGTTTTGGTTATGAAAGCTGCAAACAAACAAACAAACAAATACCAATTCTTTCACTTAGCTGACGCTAAGTTTATAACTATATATGTAAATTATATATGTTCTTTATATGAAATTATAATATATACATTACTAGTAGTACTATACATATAGTAAATACACAAAATATTAAACTTTTTTTTTTTTTTTTTATTACACCACGCGTCATATTTCATTTCATGATTTTTACTGACTCTGCTGTCAATAAAGTATAATAATTTTATTACAGGCAAACTTTGTGATGATGAACGAAATGATGAATGAAATTACGTTTAGTAATCAATTTATCTAAACAATTTGTAAAAACATTTTCAACTAAATATTGACATGGTTTAATTTTTTTTCTTTAAATCATCAAATGTATTTTTTTGTTTTGTTGTTGTTGTCATTCATTTTTGATTATGGATGTTCATAGATGGCATGAAAAAGGTAGAAGACTACGCTCATAGATAGCTACAGTAGGCCTATACTAGTGTTTACACCTGCAATTCCACTTTTTGCCACATTGTGATGCACTAATACACAACTTGACATAAAGTGTTTAACTACGGGTTCTGGGTAACTACATTTATTTGACATAAATGCATCTTGAAAAGAAGTATTAGTCACTGGTTAATAAAAACGTCAGTCTGTCAGTGGCAAATCTTCCGAATGAGGCTTGCTTCCTGTTGAGATGATCCAAGCCATGAAAACACACACACACACACACACACACACACACACACACACACACACGTTTGTTTCCGTGAATTGTGGGGATTTCCATAGACTTCTATTACTTTTTACTGACCAAACGATATTTTCTATCCCCTAACCCAACCCTAACTCTAAACCTACCCCTTAGAGAAAACCTGTTTGCATTGTTACACTTTCAGATAAACATCATATACTATTTTGAATCATTTTTTTCCCTCGTGGGGACCCCAGGGCGGTCCCCACAATGTCAAAAATGTCAGGTTTTATTATCCTTGTGGGGACATTTGGTCCCCACAATGTAGCATAAACAAGTACACACACACGCCTGCACACACTTTTTTACTGTTTACTCTTTCGCTATCTAAATGGGGACATTACATTACATTATAGACTTGTATTGTTTTTATATACATACAGTTATAGATTTTTATAAACTAATCCTTCCCCTAACCACCCCTAAACCTAACCCTACCCCTTACAGAAAACATTCTGCATTTGTAGGAGCACACACACACACACACACTGGCTTCAATGTTCTATGAGGATATTCCATAGTTTTTATACTATACAAACTCTATTTTCTATCGCTTTACCCCAACCCTACCCCTAAATCTAGCCAACATAAGAACACACACACACACACACACACACACACACACACACACACACGTTTGTTTCCGTGAATTGTGGGGATTTCCATAGACTTCTATTACTTTTTACTGACCAAACGATATTTTCTATCCCCTAACCCAACCCTAACTCTAAACCTACCCCTTAGAGAAAACCTGTTTGCATTGTTACACTTTCAGATAAACATCATATACTATTTTGAATCATTTTTTTCCCTCGTGGGGACCCCAGGGCGGTCCCCACAATGTCAAAAATGTCAGGTTTTTTATAAGCTTGTTTCCTCATGGGGACCTCAAAAATGTCCCCACAAGGTCAAAATTTACTAGTATTATTATCCTTGTGGGGACATTTGGTCCCCACAATGTAGCATAAACAAGTACACACACACGCC